GAATACATTGGTTTTCAGACCAGATTCTTCCAATTTCCCTCACCCTCCACTCATCAAATTGTACAACCCCATGATTTATCCTCCCTCCCTCCACCCCTAAACATCCTCATCCCTCTGGTTCCATCCCCCCCCCTTGGATCCTGACGCTCGTTCTACAATAATGGTTTTATACAGTTTTTGCCCTTATGAAACTGAGTTAGTTCACTTAGCATAATACTCCCCAGTCCCTCCCAAGTTAGGTAATGACAAAATCATTGCTCCTATGTGCTGTGTAGTATTCTGTTGTGTGAATGTACCATAATTTCTCAATCCACTTGATAGTGGTTGGGCATCTGGGCTATTTCTATATTCTTGTGGTGGTGAATAATGCTGCTATTGATAGGGTGGTATTAATAAGCTCAGAATTCTCTATATATGTATCAGTTATAAAACTATAGTTATTTTTCTTCAGTCTGCAAAGCTAGTTACTTAGCCTCCGAATTCTGTTTCCTGTCTTTAGTCATACAGAGTAGTTTGATCTGTCTGTTTACCAGAAGAGGAAATGCATCTCTCCTAGATCCCTCTGAGGCTATTTCCCAGTCATATGTAAATTGTATCTTAACCTGCCTGTTTACCAGGAAGACAACATTGTCCTTCCTGAATTACTCATACTTAAATGTGAACTCTTCCTTTTTTTACTAACAAAAGTGCATTGTTAAATGAGCTGGAGTTTCACCCTAGTAAATAAGGCCATGACCACTCCCAGGCAGTGAAGCAGTCTTTGAGGCTGAGACCCTCTGTGCTCCACAGATCTGTAATAAAGTGCATTTATGGATATTGCAGTTCATTTGTCTTATTGGCTATTTGACTATGGGAAGAACCCCTTGCGTTCAGTAACACTGTGAACACTGGTATGCAAATCTCCATTTATGCCTCAATACTTATTTTCTCAGGGTGCATTCCAAGCAGTGGAATAGTTGAGTCATATGAAATTTCTATGTTCAGCTTTTTGAGGAAGTTCTAAACTGCCTTCCAGAATGGTTGCACCATTTTACAATCCCATCAACAATGTATAAGAGTTCCACATCCTCTTCAACATTTATTACTTGCTGCCCTGTTAAACTTTGCCATTGTTACTAGAATGAGATGGTATCTCATTGTGATTTTGATTTTCATCTCTCTTACTGCCGGTGACATCGAGTATTTCTTCATGTGTCTGTTGGCCATATCTTCCTCTGTGAATTTTTTCCCCCGTGTCTTTTGCCCATTTCATAATTGGGTTATGGAAGTGTAATCCATACTGAAGGCTTCAATCTTTGATCTCCTTCAGTAAGTGCTTTAAGTCTTCCTGTGTAAGAGTCAAGATTTGTTATATATATCTCTGGTCTGGCTGCCATCTTAAGTCCTTTGTCTTTGTTTTTCTCGAGTTCACTTCTTGAAAGGACCTCAGGAACAAAGAAGTAACTCTAACTCCTGTATGAACCATACTCCAATGAGAGTATGCCAAATGTTCGTGCCCTTGCTAATGAGCCCGCTTATTTTCAAATTAGCAAATCGCTATGCATCCATCCATCTTACCTCACAAGTTCCCCAATCCCCTCACTCAGTCTTTGCCACTCTCAGCAACAATAAAAACCCTTGTCTTGAAGCGCTGGGGGCTCTGTCACGCAGCTGGTGCCTTGGGGGGTGTGTGTGTGTGTGTAGAGTCCCTGCTTGAGAGCTTGTAATAAAATCCCTTATGTCCTTGCATCGATTTCAGCTCCCTGTGTCCTTTGGGGGACTCGCGATTGTGGCACAACACTCATAGAATTTTATTATAATTTTATTAAGAATATCTGGTAACATTGCTTTAAAACGTGTATATTCAAATGTAACCCTAGAATGTATAATGCAAAATGTGTACCATTGAGTGAGAACTAACCCATAGCTGGCCCTCTGGCTAATTTCCAGAGGCAATTAGTCACACAGGAAGAGATTTCCCGTCCTTCTTCGACTCAAACCACATGCCTTTGCAATTGCAAGTGTGGTTTCATGCCAGTAAGCCACCAGAGCTCTCAAGCCAAAAGTACGGAAGAACAGTTCTCAACAGGTCAGCAAGAACATGGTACATCTTCAGTGTTGTTGTTAGGTGATGTTGAGTCAATTCTTACAACAACTCTGTGTACAACAGAATGAAATTCTATCTAGACCTATATCATATTCATAAATGCTACTGAGCATGAGCTTATTGTTGCAG